TTAATTTTTGATATATGTGAAGAAGGTTTACGACCACCAATATTACCTGAAATTCCTGATGATTATGCACAAATGATGCAGAGGTGTTGGGATGTGGATCCGTCAAAAAGACCAACTAGTAGAGAGCTTTACCAATTTGCTATAAACAAACATAACGAAATTATTAAAAATAATAATACTAGTAATAGTAGTAGTAATAATAGTAATAATACTAGTGGTGGTAGTAGTGATTTGCAACAAGCACACAAACCACATCCAGATGCATATCATAAAAGTAGAATATTAGATGAAGAGATTGCTAAATCTAAAAGCTTAAAAATTACAAGTAATAGTTCGTTAAATAATCTTGATTGTGACTCCTTTCTCTAGAATGTTAACAAAGGTGAATAAAATTTCATTATTAATTAATTGGGAAATTACTATATATTCATTACTAACGATATTAATTAATAGTGGTGAATGACTAATTTAATCTCCACTATAAATTTATTCTTATCTTTTTATTTTATCTTTATTTCTTAAAACTAAATTATAATAATATTTTGAAATAATAAACTTTTTACAGTTTTTTGATTCTTGTTAAATGGTGATATTGCGGGGTATCATTTTGGCAAATTAACAATTATGGCTTAAATTTCTTGTCAGTTAATTATAACTCACTCACAATAATTTGATGCTTGTCGATTGATTAGTTTACGGATTTAATTTTAGTTCTCTCTTTCTTACACCTAGACAAATCTGTGAGCACACTTAATGGTAACCAGATAACTAAAGATGACCCTACTATAAAGTTCCTTTTATTCACTTGTGATCGATTATTTCAGTTGTTTACATTTATTGGATATTGCAAACTCTCCTTGGCTTACTTGCAAAGCAACCTTACATTTGTGATTACAATAACATTACCAATATTTCCTATTAATCTTTGGACGATACTTCATCAACACCCACTAGTTAACTAACGTTAGTCCAAACCTTTACTTACTCTCCAAAACAAATTATGTTACTAATCGTTGTTAACGCTCACTAGTTGACCCTAACCTTGCTTACTTGCTCACTTGCTCACTAAAGCAAATAAACATGGCTTTTTACCAAAGTTCCACAATTGTAACCTTTTATCAAGGCATTAACTACACTTGTTGCTTTTATCAAAGCGTTTTAAACAAAGACAATGTTTAAGTTCATTAACGATTAATTTCATAATGATTCTATCACAGAGTTGTATTTTATTAGAATGTATTATTTCCTTCAGCGAGAGGACCTGAAGTTATCCTTAATGAAATTTTCATTGATCACTACAATAAGGATAAAGATAAAGATGCAAAGTAACTTAATCAATCAATATTGACATATAAAAACTTCCATAATTATTTACACGTTGTAATAAATGAGTATATAATGTTTTTCATGGCTGCCATAATTAACTTGAACTCTCTAAGTCAAATAGCATATATCATATAATGAATATTGAGAATCCGTAATTGTTGCCGTAATCGTCTTTTATCCAAAAACAATTATGGCAAACAACTGTGACCAAACTTTTGTCTAAATAACGTTGTAATTTCCTTGCTTCATTTTTTTTTTCTTGTATCTTTATAACTTCATAATTGTTGCCATTTAATAATAATAATAAACCTATCTTTAACAATGAAATCAATCCTGAAGTAATAAAGAAACTCTTTTGACGATGAAGAAATAAAGGGCTAGTCTTTATACTAATCCTGTATATTTATTTTTAACTTTTAATTTTTATTTTTCTGTATTGTTAACTAGGGAGTGGCTATATGGGAGATAATTTAGAAAGTAAAGCATACATTGGTAAAGTTACTCGACGAGAATTATTATTATTGAACCTGAGTTCGTAAGTGCTCATCTATTATAAATTTCATGATTTACATTTTTCTTTTATGGACACTCTAATGAAAGTATTTAGGGATTCTCCCAAGTTATTATTACTTTCTTCAATCATTGAAAGTCGAGAACGTTCCACACACACACACACACACCAAGCGAGTATAATCGGAGTTTGTCTAACATTTAGGATGAGGGATTTGACCGAATTTTATGTCCTTCACGTGCTTCCTTCCAATCAGAGAATAGAGCGGTGGGAGTAATTTTAAATATCGAGAAACTAGCTTCAATTGATACTTATCTTGAGGGGAAATAGAGTTTAAATTCCTTCGAATTCTCCAGATTCTCAACTTACTCAAATTCACCAATCTCTATTTGTAATATTTAACATTAACATTATCTTAAGAACTTGTCGTAAAGTAAAGAACAATAAGAGTAATTTGTTTATATAATATATGTACTCCAGATTAATGAAAAAAATATTTTTGTTACACCTTTATATACAAATATGGGAGCAGTCTTCAGTATAAAATAAAAGATTTTTCTTTGTTTTTTCATAATAGCATAACAACATTTATTTAGCAATACTTTTAATTCCACTTTCCATTTTATAATATCCAGTTAACCAGATTATACAGATCTAAAATCCAATATACAAATTTCTACCTTACAATCACCTGGAAATATTACCATCGATCCCTCACCAGAGAATTTGCCCCATAAACAACCCCAATGTGTTGTTTTCCCAACAATTGTTTGAATTCCTGACCTTCTGTAGCCTCGAGTTTCTTTGGGAATTCCTTTATTCTATTGATTGATGAGCTTGACTATTACTATGTGTTCCTAAAAAATGCCGGATTTATTAGTGGACTTGCCCAACAAACTCACGAGAAATAATTATTAAATGAAATTCCTTTATACTTACAAGCGTCATATTGTGTTTTGCTTCGCATAAAAATCCCTTATCACTATAAATCAAAATCCCATTCCACTCCACCAGTGGTTTACCTTCCTGATTATTCATTACTCGATTAGGAAAATTTTTTATAGGCGCCTTGATCTTTTCAGTGGGAGTATTCTGTATAGCCAATAACGTTTCTTCCTCCATTGCTTGATCCTCAACTTTCAATCAGTTAACTTCCTTAAGATGAAAAGCATTCATTCGGTAATATTGACTAGGTTGAAAGTGTTTAAAGAAGCGATGACCTTTGGGATTTCATTGTCATCATTAATAGATTCTAATCCCGTCCCGTCGACATTCTTCAAAAAAAAATACGAAGGTTATCCTCATTACATACCGTATATTCCTCAAACTTTCCCAATAGTTCATCCTCATCATTATAAGATTGGATGTAAATAGTGTTCTCAAACTCATCTGCGACCAGAAATGATAACCCTGCATTGCGCATATTGTTTGCTTTCAATTCCAACAATGCATCCCTCATCACTTTATGCTTCTCGAATTCGAAATTTTTTGGCATGTTCCAATCTTTAGCAAATCTCTTATTAAGAAATATATTGACTTCTTTTGGTAACCAATCCTGAACCGAAGGATACTCGATTCTTCGATTGGAGATTTTTGGCAAGCTGAAGTGGTATTCACCAAACTAACTTGCTTGCTAATGAATGATGTTTTCTTGAAGGCTGTCATGAAAGATTAAGGGATTTCTCACAAAATGCAGGAATTAATATTTATGACAAATCATGATCAATGAATGATGAAGAAATGAAAGATGTTAGTTAAATGATGCAGGAGGAAGGTAATGATAACGATGATGATGATGACCTTCGAATTTCTTCCATCTATTTTAATCGAGTGGATATTATTTATACATGGAATAAAGTATATTTTTATTATTTATTAGATAAAAATAGATTCCGCATTAACTGAATACTTTCTTAAAAATAAACTTTGTACTTGCATCGGAGGAAAAATGCGCGCCCCTATTCTTTGGGTTCAGCGATCGAAAAAGATGCTAAGCTATTACTTTTAAATTTTTCATTTTCCACCCACTCATTAATTGCATTCATTGTACATACGTCATTGAGGATTTGTAGTACGTTTATAAATTTTATCTACAGTGGTATACCCAATGGCCCAGTTTGTTTCTTTAGATATAATCTGACACGCATTTATTGATGAATACTTTTCCTTATTTACTCTATATATCATTGAAAAACTTCTTAAATTCTCCCCATTGCATAAAACCTTGCTGAAACAGACTCACAGATCTAGCAGACCCAATCGATCTAATAGATAGACGGCTAGGGACTGCATGGTTTGTGAATAATACATCGTCCATTCATGTAAGGAAAAAGAGGGAGGAGGTCTTGCCTCGAGAAAACGAACAACTAAAACCGTCTGCTATATTTCGGTTTTCTATATTTCATTAAGAGATTTTCAATTCCGGCAAGTTTTCCATCTACAGAGTTGTTCAATGCCGAAGTGGACACATTAGCATTAGTATTGACTTGACTTGTTCCATATAAGAATGGTTTTTTATGCAATTTTTTTCCTTATTTGTATTTCCCTGGTCAAGAGCATCAAAATTTTTAAGCATGCCTAGAAAATGAAGTAAAAATAAGGAAAAAAATGCGTATACATACACACATATTCATGTTAAAAACATTTATAACAAAAATTAAAAATATTACTGCATACCACATAAATATTGTTGATCTAAAATCTATATAAAACAATAAAATAATCTAATGTTAACGTTAAGTATGGATGGAAAGTTTGTGTTCATTTTATCATGAAAATTCTTGTCATGACCAAAGAAATAATAATAATGATAAGGGAAAAAATGCTATATATTTTGCATAAAACTTTGACCCAAATTTTTTCAATTGAAATTTAATTGGATAGAATATATGTTTAAAAAGAGGAAAAAAAAATAAGAATGCCGTTAATACGTGACATAATAATTTATTTATATTAAAACAGGTTTAAAAAACATGGTCATTGAAATCATACACTAATTATTTTTTTAGAGATAATCGCGGAGCTTATTATCTTGATTTATTATTCATATAAACAAATATAATCTAGGCAGTTTTTTTGTGTGCTAATTATATGTTTTTTTGAAAAATTAATACATTTCGTCGTCTGAAAATTTTTTGCTGTATCATTTGATCTAAAAAACCTAACCTATTTAAATCTACTAAAAAAAAACCAAATATAAGCAAATGTTTACAATATTAAAATCATTTATTAATAATTAAAAAAACATCTTTTTGAAAAATTTACACAATTTATTTTAAATAAATTTTTTAAAAATAAAAATAATGTCATTTAAATTGACCAGGTACCATTTGTGCGATTGATTCAATTGTTAACGCTAAGGAAAAATTTTTTTTCACAGTATTGAAGTTAATGCCATTACAAGAATGGAAAAAAATAACAATGACAAAAATGCCATTCTTAATCTCCACCTAACTGCCTTTTACCATCATTTGTTGATGGATTAGTTGAAAGTGCAATTTATATAATAAGGTATTCGACTTTGGATTTGGTATTATATGATTGATTGGCTTTTAAAAAAGAGATTGTGGCCAAGCAATCCGGAAAGAGTTGTTATTATTATGCAACCATTAATCAGAAAATATCATCAGAAAAAAAATTGTTGTCATACAACCATCAAAAATCATCATTATGGTGTTAATTAAGTTAAGAGGCGGAATTAATCGTGTCTATCTGAATAATTTGTTGTTACCAAAAACATTATTATGATAGATATTAGAACGATCGATCCGGTTACACAACCTTTAACCAAAATTTCTATTGTTTTTGGAAATATTATATAAAGTACATTGAAGCATTCCTGTGCCTTTTCACGTTCACCACTCTATAATCTTTGATACCTTCCACAAAGGGGATTCGTAAACAGGGACTGTGATTAAAATCTTTGATAATAATAATTGTTCACTTCACTTCTTTTTCCTCTTCCTCCTTTGTTTCTGCTTTCGAGATAATTATTATCCAATTAAAAAAAAAAAGAATATCGACAAAAAATATATATATAACAAATGTAAATAAATTTATTTATTTCTGTAAAAATGATAAAAAAAATTTTTTAAAGTTTATAAATTAATCCTTTTATAAACTTTCTCCTGAAATCGAACTATCTTGTTCATCGGTTGACTTCTTATTATCTGATGAGATGATTGCTGGTTGTAACATTGGTTTTTGACGACCATTTCTTAAAAATCTTGGTAAGAAATGATTTGCATAACCAAGTATAGCGAAGATGATGTTTAATGGTAGAAATATTAGACAAATCATGCGGTATGCTAAAGCCAGCATTGACCGTTGTTTTTCTGATTGTAATTTATTATTAATGAAACTATCGTATTCAGTCAATTTTGATTCCAAATAAGCAAATTTTTCTTCAGAATAGGTACGTAAATATTGCTCCTTTTCCTTGTAACATTTAACAGCCTTGTCTAATTGAGAAATCGTGGGCTCAAATTCATCTTTAACAATTATTATATCATGTTTTGTTGCTAATATTTTACGTATCTGAGACAATTTGTATTCAAGGTGTTTTACACGTCTTTTCAACAATTCTACTTCTACACTAGGATAATGAATTTGCTCTTGAAGATGCAATGTTTTATTTTTCGCTAGTTTGGCTATGTGCATCAAAGGTTTGATTGCGGTAGTAAATACAAATAGAGTTATGTTGAAATGAGAGATGTAATTATTATAATTGGTCAAATAAACATTTGCTCCATACAATATATAACCTCCAATGATTGGTGTTAACATAATAAAAATTAAAGCACATAATTCTTGACGACGTAATTTTTCGGCAGCCTGATTTCTGATGGCTTGTTGAGTAGCATCGAAGGTTTGTTCTTGAATGATATTCTCATTGATTACATGTCTTGTTCTAGCTGCATAATAAAGTTCCCAAGGAACTATTATATGTGCACATGTAATAAATAATTAATTGATTATTATATTGATGATAATAAAACCACTATAGCAATAAATATAATATAAATATAAATATACTTTTTATAACATAATAAAGATAAAATGCGATCAAAAGTAATAAAAGGAAATCACTCCAAATATTTGATTCTCCGGAAATAAGAGCACATATTGGAGGTATTAAAGTAAATAAAATTGGCCAACTGTATCTATCAGATGAAAATAATTCAGTTTTTGAATTTTCTACAGGTGGATCTGATGGACTGATATCTGTTGTAACTTTATTGATATTAGATTTTCCATGATGTAATGTAGAAGGTTTATTACTATTATCATTTTTATTTTTATTAAACGAAGACATTTTATTATTGTTGTTATTATTATTTATTATTATTATTATTATTTATTATTATTATTATTTATTATTATTATTATTTATTATTATTATTATTTATAATATGAATAAATTTGTTCGTGTCGTCCTCAATGATTATATGCTTGTCATAAATGAAATGATGTTAAATCTTACAAGCGGGGAATGTCACTCAAGCTTGTAAATTTTTTTTTAGAGATTTTTCTTTCTGATAATGACTTATTGAATGTGTGATAAGGGAGATTTTATTACTTTTTTTATAATTATTATTTTGTCAGTATTGTGATCATTATTAGTATTAGTTGATTAACTTTGATGTTTTAATTTTTCCTTTTTTAACTTAACTATTTTTAATCATATGAAATGCGTAGATAACATGTGCAAATTATGATTTGTTTTGGTAAAAGACCCTAAAAACTATATATTATGTTCCTTTTTTTTTTTTTTTAGTGCTGTAAATAATCCTCTTTAAATTTTTTTTTTTGTCGAGAATAAATTTGTTTGAGGAAACTAGGGTGAGATTGTAAAGGAATTAATCAAGATGATGAGTTTTTTTTTAACCTTGTTCAAATTCGCCACTTGACAAGTCTGTTCCCACCCAGGATTATCGTGATCACTTTGAGAATTTTCCATGCTTAACGTGTAACTAACTAATATGGGCGCAGTGATCCTTTCTGCTTTTTAAGAAAAAATGACAAATCCCAAATCCCATTGATATAATGGATTAACAATGTTAACCAATTAAATCTAATTAATAAAATGATCGGTGAATTGCACGGACTAAGCAAGCATCTTCATCATCGTCATCACGACATCAACCATCATCGTCATCGACAACAATGACATCAACAACAACATCATCACCAACAACAACAATATAACATTATGCCACGATTCATAGTACCCATCACCCCCCTCTAGAAGAAGACGTGGATATGATGGTGGTGGTGGCTTTAGCAAGCTTTCTACTTGACGCCAGAGCCTTAAAACAAATTTAAATTGATATAGTACGATACGATTCATTTTTATCATTCAATAACACATTTTCCAAAATTCACAAAAATGTGTTTCCCCACATAATGTAGTATTTTCTGCAAATTTCTTTTTTCTCGCCCCAAGTTAAACTTTCCCTTTTCTTGTTTGATTAATCAATTTTTATTTTTTTTAGTTGAAATAAAATAAAATAAAATATTTTAATTTTCTATAATTAGTAATCAGTGTTTGAATGCGGACCATTTTTTTGTCGATCATTATTATTATGTACATATCCATATTTGATTGGCTAATTTTAAATTCACATACAACAACACTCAAGTCGAATTTTATATTTTATATTTTATATTTTATAATGTCGTATGCTAAACTATTGACACCATTATCACCAGAAAGAGAGAATTTTGTACGTAAAACTTACAGTGAAATGCTTAATAATACCAATGCTAATGCAGTGGATGGAGAAAGTAGAAAAGATTATTTTTTTTCATTAGTTAAAAAAAACAAGGAGCTTTCTGAAAATGAAAATGAATTTTGTAAGGAAAGGTTTATTTATGAGTTTGAATTAAAAAATGCAAGAGATAAAGAAGGCAAATCAAAAGAATGTAACAAGTGTAAATTGACAAGATACTCTGATAGGTTCTGTGAAGGTTGTATTAGTTTA